TTCTACTCTACTCGTTTTATGTATTATTTATTTGTTTGCTTTTTTATTATTTACTCAGTTTTGATTCTATTTACTTTTACAATTAAATTCTATCACTCAGCCTTTGTCCACTAAAGTTATCTGCAGAGGTAGCTGCTTATTGATATATCTGATCAAAATGGTATTTCTTACTATTTTCTCTATGTTTCTGACTCTCTATTACTTATTACAATTCTATCTTTAAAAATGTGTATTTGGTTGCTATGTAACTTGAGATACATAAAATCAGCATTTTAGGTCAAATGAACTTGTTTATTTCTTTTAATTTTTAAAAACAAGTTTAATGTATTCCATAAATATTAACCTTTTGTTCCCCAGCCAAATAGGCTCAACTCAGTTTAGACCACTCTTTACTGTAAATCCAGTTTTTCCCAGAGTCGCTTTGAGAATGACCAGCCAAGAAGCTAGTATTGGGTCAGGCACTCTCAGTGGCTGCCAGCAGTAACTTTGTTCTCTACCAAACGCAGGCTTGAAATAGTTGTGGCTGTCATAAATGTTACTGTTTTATCTGTACACTTTCTTAAGATATGAAGCATCACTAGAAAGTTTGTATTTACCTAGAGTTAGTGCTCTCTCTCCTGAGGGTCTTGTCCCTACTCCTCTCCACTAGTGTCCCCTTCCCTCACTACTTGTTCATTAGAACTGTTATTTTATTTTACTTTTTTGGTTTGAGACTCATTTTGTGTGTGTTTTTTTTGTGGTTGTTGGTGGTGGTTTCCCTGATTCAGATTTTTACATTGTTGCTCTTTTGTGGATCCTGCTATCTGGAAGCTTCCTGTGTTGTTTCTCACTTTGCTCTCTTCCCAGAACTTGACAAAGAGATTATTTTAAGTAAAATGAGAAAAATGTAGTGAATTAATTGAATTGCTGTTAATTATGCAATAGATCTTTAGATTTTTAAGCTCAGTTCATTTCAGCAACATATGCAAAGAAAAACTAAAATAGATTTGTTCCAGGAGAGGAATGTCTTAACTATCTACTTTGTACAAGAGACCTCTCGTCCTGTTCCCCTTCCCACAAAGTGAATTTTGATTGCAATTAAAATAAAATAAATTTAAAGTGTCTCTTCTCACAGACTTTTATGTGCTAGTAATCAATAGTGAATGACACAAGTACAATGCTCTAAACACTATAAATAGAAGGTAGCAGGACATACCAAAGAACAAATTAAACCGGGGTAGGTGAGCCACAGCCTTGGGGTCAGATATGGTGCCAGCCTGGTTTTGCATGGCCTGTGGGTAGAGAATTGTTTGTAAAACATTTGGAAATGGTTAAACAAAATATAAATGAAGAGTGGTATTCCATGACATATGAAATTTTATTCTAGTTTCTGTGCCTATAAATAAAGTTTCATTAGAACACGGCCACGCTCATTCATTGAGGTGTTACCTCTGGCGACTCTTCTATAACCGCAGTGAAGCATGGCCTGCAAGTTGAACATATTTACTACATGGCCCTTTATGGAAAAAAATTAGCTGGGCTCTAGACCAAACCGTAGCTAGTACCTGGAGTAGCTCATGTTCAGCCTTGTAAAAATCATCAAAAACTTCACTTGATTTCTTTCCCCGATAACTGATGTATTTCCTGATAACTGATGTATTAGGCAGGGTAAAGACCTAGGAAAGCAAATTCTGTCTATTCAAGTTCATTTGCTTTTCAAGAAGAACTTGGGATGAGGGAGAGCCATACATGCATAGGCATTTGTAAATGTTGATTTATTTGTATTATTCTGCAAACAATGCCATTTAAGAAGCCTTTTTTTGTTTTGTTTTGACTATTTTGCTGACAAGTGTGATGCTGGTCGTTCATAAAAGCATAGCCACTTCTGCACAAAACCTTTTATGCCAGTGAAGAATATGTTATAAAGTTCAGTGCCTCTTCTTATGTTCACCAAAAATCACTGATCTAAGATCTCTTGCGACCGCCCTTCATTCAGTCCCTTCTTGTCCATGGAGGAACTGGGTAGATTCAAACTGCCGTCCAATTTCTAGCAAGGGTCATTCAGACCAATTGGGAATGGTATAAGAGAAAGGAGGGCAGCCTTTTCAAAATATAAACACGTGATTTCTTAAACAAATTGCTCTTGCTGTGTTGCTCTTCTTTTCTGCTATTTGCCAGGACCTGACTTCCCCTTCCTCACATGTCCGTTAGCCCTGTGTCCTAGTGGCCCTTCTGTCTGCATCCTGCGTTTGTGTTGCTGCATTTCACTGGCTTCTCCTTGGTTGTGTTCTGCCGGCCTGGGCTCCTGGTCAGGATCAGTCCTGATGCCCGAGTAGGAGCCACCAAAACTAGGTCTCTCCTACTTTCCAATTTTCCTGCAAAGGATCCTGTTCCTGGCCTCTGTGCATTTCTTTAGAACTGTTATGTCTTGCTTTTTCATATAGAAGATGGGGAGAAAAGCAAAATTTGGGAGCTTTTGTGATGTTGCAGGCACAGTGGTTCATGCTGGGCAGCCCACAGCTCAGTTATTGTCACGGTGTTTTATGTCCCCATTTTACAGATGAGCAAATCAGGCCTTAGCCTCTTAGTAACTCATCCACAAACAGAAAGCCAAGGAGGCTGGCTCCAAAGTCAGGGACAGTCATCAGATGGCAGCTGATAAGGCCCCCAGCACACAGGTCAGGCCTTCATTCCTGCATTCCAGAAAGGAGCTGATTGCACATGAACCCTAGGGGTCCAGGAAGGCTGTTACGGGCACGTCCTTATCATACATGGAAAGTTGCTTGCAGAAGCAAGGGTCAGATGAGGAGAGGTCACAAAGATGTGATTTTTCAGTGGACTTCTTTTAACTTCTCTGTTTAACAGAGAGGTCAACAGGCCCAAGGTCATGGATAAAGACCTGCTGAACCAGTTGAATACATATATTCCCCAACAATTATTGGAGTCTGCTAAAATATGAATAATAAAAAAATCCAAGCTGGAGGGGTTATTTGAATACCTAACATAAATATGATCATTTAATTATTTAGAAATTAGTTTTTTAAATCTCTTACAGTTATGATGATGACTTTGTGTTTTGGGGTTCACAAGCTATTTCATGTGTTTTGTAGGCTTCTAAGGATCTACTTACGAGGTCTGACAAGTTCGTGAACTTCTTGCAATGATGTTGCTAACCTTTTTTCATATCAGAGGGATTATTCATTATGAATTTGTACCAACTGGACAAACAGTTAACCAAGTTTACTATTTGGAAGTGCTGAAAGGACTGCATGAAAACGTTAGACGACCTGAACTTTTCACCAACAATTCATGGCTCTTGCATCACGACAATGCACCAGCTCACACGGCACTGTCTGTGAGGGAGTTTTTAGCCAGTAAACATATAACTGTTTTGGAATACCCTGCTTACTTACCTGATCTGGCCCCAATGACTTCTTTCTTTACCCTAATATAAAGGAAGTATTGAAAGGAAGACATTTTGATGACATTCAGGACATCAAGGGTAATACAACAGCTCTGATGGCCATTCCAGAAAAAGAGTTCCAAAATTGCTTTGAAGGGTGGACAGGTGCTGATATCAGTGTATAGCTTCTCAAGGGGAGTACTTTGAAGGTAACTGTAGTGGTATTCAGGAATGAGGTGTATAGCACTGTTTCTAGGATGAATTTGCGAACTTAATTGTCCGACCTCGTATTAAAACTCTGTGATTATAAGTTGCTAAGGACTTATTCTGTTATTATTTTCCTGTAATTCAGATAATTTCCATATGCTGCTTTAGTTCTAAAATGTATGACATGCTATTGCCTTGCAAATAAGAGCTGTTGCCAGTTACACCTTGTCAAGTGACCCTTGTGTGTGCAGTTCCTTTCCATGTTGCCCATGTGCTGGTGCAACCATATTTCCATCCTCTTTTCCTGCTACAGGCCTCCCCCTAACATGGTCTCTGCATTAAAGCCACACTGGGCACCACCATGAATTAGGAGATAGGTACCTTCCTCCATTTCTTCACTTCCTGGTATCTTCCTTCATTTATTCACTTCCTGGCATCTTCCTCCATTTGTTCAATTCCTGGTATCTTCCTCCATTTCTTCACTTCCTGGTGTCTTCCTTCATTTCTTCACTTCCTGAGAGACTCTTCGTGTCTTTTTCTATGAGTTCAATGCCTCTCCATTCTTCATCCTCACCAGTTGCTGCCTCCTTTACTGATGTGCTCAGCAGATTTCCTCCTGCTCTGTTCCCATAGCCCTTGGTTGGGGCTTTATCTCCTGGCCTTGTATTGGAGGAAGTCCTAAACACACTGGTCCTTTTGCCTTGATTGGAAATTCTTTGAGACTGGAGGTCATGGCGAGTTTATATCCTTCATATAGTAGTTACCCAAAGTACCTTTGATCAGTTGATGTGGTTGCCTCTGAAGGAGCAGCTGTCTGCAAAATTAAACATATTCAACATTCCAAATGAAAGAATCTGAAATCAGACATATTTAAATACGTTACAAACTCTTCTTAATACCAGAGGTGACAGCAGTAATAAAAAAACTGGCATGTGATCTGACCACCTGGATAAGAGTATATCTCTTTGAGCCTCCATTTCCACTGAAATAAAAAAGGGATGGCGGGCAATATCTGCCTTGCTTACCCCTTAGGGTTTTAATGAGGATGACATGAGATGCTACATCCGAAAATGTGTTGGGAATCAGGATAGCGCTTCAAATATAAAATTGCATTGTTTTATTTAAGAAAACGTGATTGGAATTTAGACAAAATCTGTACTGTATATATATTGTGTACTTTAACAATCTATGTCTGATTCAGATTTAAGTTTGTACCTGGATGTACTTTGTGAATAGTTTTAAGGGGATCATCAGACTTTTACATCAAAGACTGTAAAGCCAATCTATAGCCAATTATGCTGTCCTGGGAGATTTTGAAATGGGACTATTGGTCCTGTCAAACAGAACGAATTTGTTATCTCCATAGTTCCTTCATAATGCAAGCTTTGCGTTTTTATTTTTTCCTGAACAGGCTTCCATCTCTATCACAAATTGCCCACAATAGTGCCTGAGAGCTGCCTTCTCATCATGGTTGGACTTCTACTAGGTGGGATTATTTTTGGAGTCGATGAAAAGTCGCCCCCTGCAATGAAGACGGATGTGTTTTTTTTATATCTCCTCCCACCTATTGTGCTTGACGCGGGCTATTTCATGCCTACGCGCCCATTCTTTGAGAACATTGGCACCATTTTCTGGTATGCTGTGGTAGGGACACTTTGGAATTCCATTGGCATTGGGGTGTCCCTGTTTGGTATCTGCCAGATTGAAGCCTTTGGCCTGAGTGATATCACTTTGCTTCAGAATCTGCTCTTTGGCAGCTTAATCTCAGCCGTGGACCCCGTGGCTGTGCTAGCTGTCTTCGAGAACATTCACGTCAACGAGCAACTCTACATCCTGGTCTTTGGAGAGTCCCTGCTGAATGATGCAGTGACAGTGGTGAGTAATGTGTTGACAGTAGATCACTCCAGCAAGTAGGGACCCCCCACCGACCTACACTGGCTTTCTGACAGTGACAGCTCTGTGTGTAGAAGGACCTCTCACTGAGTTTAATGCTGTGTTGTCACTGTCTTGCAATTCTAAGTAAATGTTTTACGTATTGTTTAATGTTTATTTATTATTATACAGTGGGCCCCTCATTTGCATTTTTCACTGGGTCATGCAAACTGTGTTGCTGGTCACTGTTTGCAGGGCTCTGCTATTGACAGAGGAGCATATCAATGATTGTGACTTGAGCATCTCTGAGATTTCTCATTTTAGTGTTTTCTAAAGTGATGGGTTTTGATCAGAATTTAAAGGACTGCAGTTCCCAGAATTCTTTGCAAGGAATAATGCTGTCAGTACATGATGCATATAATACAAGTGAAAAGATAATACCTACTAAGTGCTGTTCTCTCTTTGGGGATGCTTTATTTATTATTTTATGATTGTAGGCAAATTTTTCATCACACAGTTCACTTCCTGTTACTACTCAGCCAGCATTTTTCTGGTTCTCAGCATTTTCCCATAAGTGGGTATTTTTTTCAGAAAATGCAAATTAGTTTTAATTCTTACTGACATATAATTACAGACAGAGGCTATTATGATCTTAATGTTTGCAGAATTTACCTCCACCCCACCGTCTGAGCTCAGGCAAAGTGTGGAGAGAAAGGATGAGGACGCCTTGCAAGCAAAGAGCTCCCCCACCTGTGAAACTCACTCCGGTGACCCTTCATCCATTAAGCAGTTAGGGAGCATTGGTGACACTGTTTCATGGTAGTCACGATTTTATAGTAGTAATGATGATAGTAATAGTAACTATTAACCTCTTTGAATGCTTAGTTTGTGCTTGGGTCTTCATGACAACCTACAAAATAAGTATTCTTCCCATTTTGCAAAGAAGAAAATTGAGAGAAATACGAAAATTAAAAAAAAAATCATCCATAATGTCTGTGGATATCATTATATAGAAAGTAATGTATTGATAAGGAAATCCCATTTTTCAGAGTAGCTGCCAAGATAGCTATTTTAAGAAGCCTGAGTTAACTCAAGTGACAAAATCTACCTCATTTATTCCATTATTCATTAACAGTGATTAGTCATTAACTCACCCATCTTAAATTTTAACTGGGAAACTGCCATAACAATGAAGATATTTCATAACTCATTCTAATTTCTGAAGGCATCAAGTGTTATAGTGACTTATGTCTGGTATGTACATTTTACTCTTGTTGAGGGAGATTGTGGAAATGTCAATGTGGAATTCTTAGATCTATTTAGTGTCAAAGAAACTTTACAAAGAAATCATAACACCTGCTGCTTTCCTTCTAGAACAGTATACCATTCTTGTCAGTTTCAGAAGGCTACACCATGCCTTTATACTGCTTCCTCTTTTCTTATAAGATTTCTCATTCAAACACCTCAGTGGTCCATTCTTTGAGTTTGTCAAGAATCAGGTCACAGGAAACCATCTGGCTAAATTACTTTTTAAAGTGTGCAAACACCCCAGGCTTTCCAGAGGCCTGCCTTGTGCTTCCTGTCAAGAGGCGTAAAGCCAATCAAATGTGATTTTATGGACAGAAAAGGAAGGGCTAACTCAGAGAGGGTCTTGGGCCAAATTGACGGCCTGCCATTCTGATACAGGAAAGAGGGCAAAGGGCAGAGAAAAGGCATGGCTGCTCTTAGGTGTGGAAGCCCTGTTACAAGACCAAAGCCTGTGAGTCTTTGATTGTGAGTCAGAATGATCGTTACATTTGCACATGAAAGAGCCTTCCTGGGTTGGTTATATACCCTGGGCTAGGCTGAAAACCCATGGACACCTAAAGCCAGACCCACAAGATAATGGGACATGCCCAGTGGTTTGCCTACCTAATGCTGAAGGATAAACCACCAGAAGTTTCTTTAACTGAACTTGTTGAATAGTGGACTGAACTGACCAGGTCTTAGGAATAATTAGGAAAATGGCATAAAAAAATTGACAATTTTTCCCCCTAGTCAGGTACGCTTCAAAGTATAGAGGTAGAGATGTTTTACAGAAGATTTTTGGACTCATCCACCTAATCTTATCTCTAGCAGAGTTTAAGGAACTTGTGGAATAGAGAAAGGTATAAAATATATGGACCACACTGCATATAGTGAAAGTGTTGAGTCACTGTGAGTTGCAGCCAGAAGTAGAGATTAACAGAGAGGATTAATGTTAAAAATGTGGTCTAGAGGGTGAGTGAAATTATAGGTCAGTGCAAATA